AAATTTGTATAAAATTAATTAAAAATTCTACATTTAAAAGAACTTAACCTTAAGACACAAGTTAAAGAAATAAAAAAATAAAGCTTGACTTTTATACTCAAAATCTATAAAAAAAATATGAATTTAATATAAAAATTTGTATAAAATTAATTAAAAATTCTACATTTAAAAGAACTTAACCTTAAGACACAAGTTAAAGAAATAAAAAAATAAAGCTTGACTTTTATTCTAACAATTAAATAATTAAATACATGCATGTTATATTATGTTAAAATTAATATTATTTTTTTTAGTTTTTTTATATAATTTAATAATTAAAAAATATATTAATTATAATCTTAATTTAAAAACATAAATTAAAAAAATTCAAAACTATACTCGCTTAACAAGTGCCTTGAAGAAAACCCTAGAAGAAATAAATAAAGGTCTCTCTAAACTTTATCCTAATAAAACTCATTAATTAGGCTATTTTTAATTAATTTTACATAAAATTTATATCAAATTTATAATTTTTAAAATAAATTTTGAGGTAAAATATTATATTATATTTTTATATATTATATTATATTATATTTAAATCTTATATAAAATTTATATAAAATTAATTATAAATATTACAATAAATAAAATTTAACTTACAACAGGTAAAAAAATTCCATAAATAAAAAGGAGAAGGCATTAATTTTTTTTTTTTTGAACATTTTTGTTATGGGACTGGCTCGAACCGCTGCTATGGGAGAAAGGGATATGAACTTTACAAACGTAACTAGAACCACTTGGCTCGAAGGATCAGGTTCGGAGAAGGCATTAATTTAGCCTAGGATAGGGTGAAGATCAAAGGAAGATACCAATTTGACGAATTTAACAATAAAATAGGGTGGAGCTGCAGAATTCAACAATACAAAATGAGGGTGTGTGGAAGTTGGAAGTCTACTATTGTCCCCATGAAGAGACAACAATGCGGCTGGCACTGAGCCGTGAAGGTTGGAACACGCTCAAGTTGAAGAAATGGAAGACGACTTGTTGACTTAATTACCGACTCCGGACTCCTGTCCTCCATGGAAAGACAAGTCAATAATCAATTAAACACCCTTGAAAATCCATTTTCCGGGCTGGAAGCATCCTATGAAAGGAGAAAGCCTGTTGTATCCCGGGGATATTATTAACGTAGTATTCCTGACTAATCATGGTATGCCATATTATCAAAAAATTCTTTATCTTATTAGCCATGGCAACTCACTCAATAGTAAAAATGATAATGCAGCATGTTATGATTGACCGGAGATACCACATTAGCGGTATCCTCGGAATACAGCAGAATTTTATCTAAATTTGATTGAAAATAATTTTTAAAGTTAATTTTTAAATTTTTCTTCATTTAAATTTTAAATTTTTGAGAAAAAAATTTTACTTTAAAAGAATTACTATTTAAGATTTGCTAAAGACCGTCTATGTTCAAATCCAAATGATTTTCTGCATGCAGATTGCAGACCAATTAAAGTTTGTTGGAATGGTCATAGCACAGACATGCATCTTGTTTTCCTTTGATATGATTTTGGGTTTGGTGGAATTTGATTTTTATAATATAAAAAATATGCTATAATTATAATATTATATAATATTATAAATTTATAATATAATATAGTATTATATAATTAATTATTTTATATTATAATTTTATGATATTATATATATTTATCAATTTAATATTATGCCATATTTATTTAATATTACATTATAATTATAAATTTATAATTTTACATGATATTATAATTATAGTATTATTATTATATTATATTGTTTGTATAGCTTGATCTAACAGCATGGACATAAAGACCAATACAAAAACTCTTTTTGGTCATGGATCATTATGATTAATATTATTTTATATAATTTATATTTAAATATTTAATTTTTAAATAAAACATATAACATAACACTCCTTTTCTAATGTATGTATTTAAATAAAAAAATTTTAAAAATTATATTAATATTATTTTATTAAACTTTTAAAAAAATTTAAATTAAAAAATATAATCAAATACCACCCATTGATCATTTTGAGCCAATGGCTAGATAAGAGAGGCAAAAACTTACTTTTAGCACCTCACTTTATCAAATTTGAAAGTTTTAATCCCTTATCTTATCTTATGATACTTTTAACCCCTCACCTTATTATATTTGTAAGTCTTAATCCTTTATTTATTAAAATCAAAGAAAATAACCTTACTTTATACTGATTTTTAACTTAATTAATTAAAAGTAAATTTTTATCAACTAACAGTCAATTAATAGTCAATTAACAGAATTAACAAAATATTATAAAACTAATTTTATTAATTCTGTTAACTGAAAAAAAGTTTTTGACAATTAACAGTTAACTAA